CACATCCACAACTACATGCGTACCTTAGACCAAGCCTCAGACGATATATTGACCCGTCTTTTCTTGTCTATCCCTGCCAAAATGTGTTGCTCTCAGTATACGTCTATAAATCAATTTTGCCCACGCCCTTACTCCACCAAATTACGTCGTACTAATTATGGCCAATGATTAGACTCACCAGCGAGTTCCTACTATTTATTCTACTATACAAATCTTCGCTTCCTTCAATCTTAGTCTCTCTGCATCTTATATTGTATCGAACAGTTTTCTTGGCCACTAATTTTCTTCTATTTTATATTATTTTGACCTCGTGTGTTCTCCGAGTTTTCTCATTACCCTCCTCACAAATTGGAATTCCAACGACAAGATACAAACCCCTTTGTAGACAATGAGAATACTTCATATCACTTTGTGATGGCTTCTTTCACTTGCGTTTCTACACACACCAGGTCTCTTCATCTAGGTAATCCATATATAGAGCGCGTCCAGGATTCTTTTTAAATATTTAATATATAAGACTACGGTACACTACTCCGCCTATCAGGATCCAGCTTAACTAACACTCAACCTCGCTCTCCACTATTCCTTTTTGAATACATTCATATATATATAAGTTACCTTTTTTCCTGAGATTCTTAACTTTTTACAAGCCTCGTATCTATTAGTAAGTACCTATCCTAAAAAGGTGTCAAGCGCAGGGAGGATTTTTACCTATAATTCTACAACGTAATATAATATAGATAGAATATCGATAGACTTGTTTACATTTTAGCGGAAAATTTACCTTTACCTTTACAAGGTGAAATGTTAAAAGTGGTAAATGCCTGGTTACCGCTGAAAGTAGTAGTGGACTAAATGAAAAAGTATGGGTTGCAAGTCTTTAAAAATTGTAGGAAAAGAAAGTTTTTATTAAGAATTTCGTTTAGGGAAAATTGTGAACTTTCTTGTATCAGGCCTTATTAAAAACATGAGTTTTTAAAAAATTTTATGTTCGTTTGTAACGAATATAGTTTAACCCACGTACGTACACCGAAAGAAAACCCTTAAAGCCCACTTTGTAAACACCTGAAAGAGCGAAAGAGTTAGGCGTAATTTTTTTGGTAAATCAAGTTCATCGGATATTTTTTGGCTCTGGCAATTTGTGGCATTGTTGCGAAACTCAGTGTAATAATTGGTAAACTTGAGGGGGAAGTTTGAAAGTCTGTGCAAAAAGAATCGAAAGTAGGTTAACTTGTGTGTTACGAGATGGAAGAAATATAATATAATTCTGATAATGCACGTAACACCCAATTTTAAATTGATAAAGAGGTTCTAAGGTTTATGAAGTCCAAAGTGCCTCAAAAATGCTTTTCATTCAGATTTTCAAGAAGACTTTTAAGCTCATTTATTCTAACATTTCTACGAAGACTTCCAAAGGAATTCTTACACGAATTCTAAACATGTTCTAAAGCTATACAAAGAAGATTGGAAAAACAGTCAAATTCCTAAAAAAATTCTCAGATAGGTAAAAAGATTTCCCAAAATGCTGCGGATATTTATTTAAAAACAACCAAGAATATTCTGAAAAAGGTTTTTAAACAATTTCTCACTGTGACCCAACATTAGCACTTAAACAAGATTTCAAATATTTGTATGAAAACAATTAGCTGTGTTTCTAAAAAAAATTCAGAGATCCCTAAACGGTAATTCAAGAATTATTTTTTAGAAATATTCCAAAAAGCTTTTCGAAAAAATGTTTCTAAAAATTTTCTCTGCATAAGCAAATTTGCAAAAAGGTGCATAGTAAAATTAATAGCAAGATTCATAGAAGTTCTTATAAGACCTTTAAAATTCTCGGTTTTTGCTTTTAAACAATTTGAAGCCAAAGAATGTTTTCAACAAGAGTCCTAACACGTTGTTTGTTTCACACAAATGCACCTGACATTTGAAAATCAATGGCCGAACCTGCGTTAGAACCAGAGACCCTTTAGCCTTTAGTAGAGCAGACACTCCACTACGCCATTCGAACTGCCCAAAAGTCCTCTAAAAAATTCTAAAATCGTTTTTTAAAAAAACCTCTGCCAAAGTTTTTAAAAGATTTATAAAAAGAAAGTAAACAAATTGTTCAAATTCTAAAAAACCTTTATAAGGTGATAATTAATATTTTTAGAACATTATCTAAAGACATTTCTAAAATTATTCAGAGGTATTGCAATAGTTGTTTTGAAAATTTTAATGAGATGTTTTGGATGGTCTCTAAATGTCCCACCTTAGTTTACTCACGAAGGTTTGTATTACTATTTTCAAAGTAGCTTTCCGTCAAAACCCTTTGGAATATCCCTAAAATCATTTCTAAAAACATTTCTAAGACACTATTAGATCCTCAAGATTTAGAATAGGTTTTTACTACGGTTAAGATTATTTTTAATAAAAATCTTAAGGATATGTCTAATAACATTGTCAGAGGATTTTAAAAGCTGCGCCAAATGGAGTTTTTAACACGATTCCTAAAAAGATTTTAAGGACGATTCTAAAGAAGTTTTGAAGTATGTTTCTCTTACAAATTCAGAAAGAACTTCTAGTTTGGGTCCGGAGAAAAAAAAATCTGGGGATTTTTTAAATTTCAAAAGTAGGTAATCCTAAAGAAATTTTTAAGATCACTGGTAAGATTCCTAGCAGGTTACTAAGACAGCTAATAAAGTTGTACCCAAGATATGCTTATATTTTTTGCGACTTTTTGCTATCAAAGACGGATTTAAACTAGAATTTAAGTTCAGAAGTACATTCGCTATTCAGTGTTTTACTTGTAATAACAATTGTATTGTAAAAAAAATGATCTAAATAAATAATATCATGTTCTAGTAAATGTAATTTATATTTTTTGATTTTATCTCTAGGAATCCATACAGAAAAACGATATAATCGTTCTGTAGTTTTCCTGACTTTTATGTAAATAACTTTGTCCTTTATACAGCGAATACATAGCAATTTGGCGACGAGCTGAGATATTGAGAAATTTGATCTCACCGAGGACCCGTAATCAGTTACAATTTGCGGAATAAATAAATGCCTCTCCAAGACTACCACCGTCCGGCAGTGTCGGAGATTGGCGAAAGAGTCATTTTCCACAAATATGTACAGAAACCAGGTCAATTTGTTTCTTTAGTTTGTGGTTTTTCTAATGATAATATCCAGAAAAAGGATTTTGTCTCAGCAGCATTTAAATTTCACAGATGCCTAAGATAGTTATAGGTTGTAAATTAGGAGATCAGCAAGTGCAGATGGTCAGCAATCAAATTCGTCAGTCAACAAATTAAACCAGTCTCATAAAAAGGACCCATATAAGTCAAACAAGTCAGGAAGTCAAAATAGTATGACGCAAGGAGCAAAGTTAAGTCAGTCGAATCAAAGTTTCATAGTCAGTCCAGTCAGCTGTCAAGTCAAAGTTGCTACCGTTGTGCTCGTTGGCACAATCCTGACGGATGTCCCGGACGCTCGAGATTAGGAATGTTTTACGTGCAGAATTAAAGGACGCACTAGCAGAGTATGGAAGAAGTCAAAAGTCAACGTCAACTAATCGCATCGGCGGTACAAGAAGGTAAATTTGAACGAAGTTGTATTAGCGTGGTGAGTGATAAAGAAAAAGCTTTTAAGGTGCCATAAATTTTGAGGGAAATCTAGTAATTTTGATATTGACACTGGAACATCTAGGTCAGTAACCCATATATCGACTTTTAAGGGAATTTTTCGAGAGAAAAAAATCTGTTCCTCGTCTAACTCGGAAACAAAAAGAGACAGCGATGTCAAACTTTCGCCAATCTATTTCTATGCGTTTTGGGATCAGTGCTATTGAATACGAGCCGGATTAAAAGTCTGGTTTCGGAATATGAGCCGTGTGGCAAAAAATTCCCCTATTGAAAATCGTATGTGATTATTTGTATCTTGTTAGACAATGGTATTATTAATGTTAATTTTAGTTTGAAAGTAGTTACTGGCCAAAAAGTTAATATATAGTAGCTAAAGTCGAATACTGGTCAAGGTGCATTAGCTTTCGTAATTATTGTAGAGTGAGATAATTTATTTTAGTCCTTTACTAGGCAGAAATTGACTGAATTAAGTAATATAATTAGTATAAGTAATATAAATTTAAGGCAGCTTGCCACAAATATTTCTCTTAACTTAAAGAAGGAGGTATCCTAGTTTTTCATCGCGCGTACGATGTACCAATTTTGTTATAGAACAAAATCTGAAAAAGAGTTGTTAAAAATAATGGAATCAGGTGTGCCCGAAAAGGTCTATATAGGTCAATAGGCCAGTCCTATTGTTATTGTCCCTAAAAAGGAAAAAGAGGAAATAAGAATTTGAGTGGACTCTAAGAAAACTGTCAATTGTGAAATAAATTGTGATCATTATACTTTACCAACCCCTAAAGATATTTTTGCCTCGATGAAGAAGTTGTAATTTTGTAATTGTAATTTGTCAATCGTTAAAATAAAATTAAGTTTACAACCTTTGTCCGGCAAATACAAACAAACTGCTTCAGATACAACCTACTTCAACATGCATTTTATGCTTACAAAATACTTTTCATTTTCAGAGCATTATGCAGATTCAGAACCAAACGGTTCGCCTTTGATGATGAACCAAGTCCATCCCATGCCGTGTTCTCCAGTTTTCGAGAACTTTATACGAATTCACCCGGGACATGAACCAAAACTTCTCATTGCCCACGCCCTCCCAAGGCGGTATTACAAAGTTGGCTAAAGAAAACGAGGACGTACATAATCAGTTACGAACTCTTATCATTGCTCATGTTGACTAACGAACAAAAATAAAAAAATGATAAGGATGTGACGCTAGCTTCCCGCCATCAAACATACGTACTGCAAGTGGTATTAAGATAAACGAATAAGTAACATATGCTCAAAGATAAAAAGTTAAAAATAGGTGTTGGAACCGCCCTTTGATTTTATAAACAATTTTCAATGTCTACCTCAAATGAAATCTATGAGTGGACCTTGCGTAATTGCTTCTGCTGAACTGCTACAAGTACGTAAACAACAACAATATCCCCACCAGTTGGCAGTATCAATTCGCGGCCTTCAATTAACATTACTCAGTTTGAAATAACCAGTCTAACACGATGTAGAGTCAATGGCCAATCTTACAAACGACGCATGCAAAGTGAATAAAGAAACGAGTGACGACAATGTGTTATCGGTACACCCAATTGTTATAGACGCGGTAAACACTTCCGTTGTTCCTCGTTCTTCAAGTGACAGTTCGGATGATGAGGACGACGATGATAGTGAAGAGTGTGGGTACCAACTGGACGTGCGAAGTAATGGATTAACACCAGGTTCGACTGTGCAGATCGAGAATTCATCTGACGTGGTTATCGGTCCAGTGACACAGTTTCATGGGCCGGTAACTATCTATCAAAATGTACGGGCGGAAGCCCAACAACTTCCGCAAATCGCGCAGAAGAAGAGCAGTCCAGGTAAGGTGTAGCCTGGTATTCTTAACCTTGAAGAACTGGATTTTCCGTGACTGTGGTAGCCCGTTTAGTATTGGTAACATATGTTTAAAATTGCATTCGCAATCATCACTTGTACAGTAATCAGTCGCGCCGTAATTACAGATCGTCGACCCACACTTTTATGGATGCGCGTTTTTGGTAATAGGCTACTTATTCATTGGTCATTTTGGTTGGTCCACTTCCTAACGGAACGGTTTGTGTTTCCTATTGCCTAGCACAAATTTCCGTGTAAGTGCTCGACGAACTTATTTTTCTCTACTTTTATCATAAGTACGTATTTCCCGTTTAAGTAAAGTTGGGTTCTATTCTACTGTTGGCGGGATATCGGAAAACACAGACGCAACTACGGTTTCGTGGAATGTTTGTCACTAAGCGGTGTTATGTAATTATTTAATGTTTAAAAACACCGAACAGCCTTTTATAACCACAATTGTCCAAAATTGACGTTTTTATTTTAACACTCATCGTACTAGATTTTTGCCCATGAAGCTTTTGAAGCTATCAAGAAACGCAAAATTGTCCTTGCGTGAATTCAAACGCATTTTCGATCAAACAATGCCTATGTGTACAAATTTTATTCGCGATATTTAAGGGATGATGTGTACAGATTGAACAATCGCAATATTTCATCTACTGAGTATCCAAACACTCCTATACTAATTTGGATGTATTCGTCCGCACTATACATTCAGTTTGGTAATTATTTCCAAAAAAAAATTGTACTTGCTTCTTTATAAAACAGTTTTGAACTTCGGGGAAGATGTACAACTTTGCTTTAAATTAGGAGAAAATATTTCGATATAAAGAAATTAGCATTTAAATTTCTATGGTGCGTAAACCGTTTTTATACCCTGTAGTTGTAGAAAAGTTTATGAGCTTTCGATTTTGATAATAACTTTGTTTCCTACGAGCCACCATTTTCGAGATATAGCCGAAAAATCGCAAAATGTACCTTTATCGCCCTCTCCTCCCTTCGCGAGACCGAAATCGCTCGGGACTTTATTACACGATCATCAAGAGACCTTTGGGGATCTCCGAAACCATAGAAGATACGACGATAGTCAAATTAGAGAAAGATGAGTAATTAAAGACTTAAAGCGTATGCTTCAAAGAGAACCCGAAATTTTCCCATGTTGATTTTATTTTTTTCTGAGAGAGATTTTCAATACAACGTTTCGTTTCAAAGAAGTCATCATCAGCTTCATTTTTTTTATGGCCCGTAAAAAAAGTGCATACTGTTTTGAGTAGCATTTTTTATTACCAATAGGTACAATGATGTACTCACCGCACAGAAAAAAAGGCTGGTGCCCCCGCACACAGCGCCCTAATCGTGCGAGAATAGCTATGGGACAAATTTCTTGGAAAATGGAAAATTTTTCGTATCTAAATTACAGAGATATGGTGGTGGCCCTCTTATCTCGAGCACAGTGTATATATTTTACGAGCGCTGGGGTGGATTCTTTAAAAAGATACGTATGTGGGATATAGAAATCATTTCAAGACCGAATGTTCTCAATGTCATTGGTATGGCCAAACGCGAGTCTTCCTTGGAGTAAGTTACTACTGCCTGAGGGACTATTATTATGAAAGGGGGGCGAGGAATCTTCCATGGGGCTAAAATGTTATGGTTGACTCTTCCTGGAGGGAGGTTCCTTGAGGCAATTTTTTGGCAGATCAGTCGTGGCGAATGTTAACGCATGAATAGAAGGAAATTGAGCACGAGGGCGAGTATATCGTAATTCCGATCCCTTGGGTTCGAGTTTAACCGAACTCGCTTTGTAAGCAAATTCCTGGCGAAGGAGTATTATACAGGAGGAATTTTCCTGTGGACAATTCTTCCGAGAATGACAACGCCGATGTAAATCTTCTGGTGTAGTTATTTCCGGAGGAATCTTCCGGTGACAAGTATTTGGTGGCGAGCTTTCCTTTATTTTTTAAATATTGGCATTGGCGAAGCAAACCAAAAGTAAATGAGAGAAGTTTTTCCGGATACTTAATTTGTTTTAGACAATCAATAGCGAATCCAGTAAAATGAAAAATTACAAAACTAACACCGCTTCACCCTTAGCACCATGCGTTGCCATATTGAAACGGCAAACGTACAATTACTGAAATGGTTCCTGATTATTTAAAATTCGTTATAAACGTTTTGGAGCCTCTAATTTTCAACTTTTCGTAATTTTGCTTAGTGCAAGCGCCTAGCGTTGCCATGTGGCAACATTAAAGTTTTGAAAATCTGAACTATCTTTATTTTTAGCGCATTTTTGAAAAAAAATACGCTATTGATTCGTTATGGCTACCTGGATGGCTAGCTGCCCGGCTGAGATCTCAGAAATTACATTCATATTTTTATGAAAACCCGAGTGAAAACCTTTCTGCTATAGTGTAGATGTGCACTAAACATTGCTGAGAAATCTGAATTACCAAAAATGTGCTTTAATCATGCATATACCGATTCGCAACTTGTTTTTAACATTTTTCGGGCGTCTAATACAGTATTTCACCATTAGTTGTATACCAAAAAATGTATGAAACTAGAGAAAAATTTAATTATAATATGAAGCAAGCGCACTGCACAGGTTTTGGTCCTTCGAACAACATGAAAATCGATGAAAAGCGAATGTCATTTAAGCCAAAACCAGCGCAAACTAATAAAAAAATAACTCCGTTCAAAATGGTAATAATTTTGAAAAAATATTCTAAAACGATACTAATATAAATCATATATTACCTATCATAACAACCAATCTTTGAAACCTGAAGATGAACCAAGAAGGCGCGAGTTTTGTCATTGGTTTCTTAGGAAGGAAAATATCATCCAAAATATAGCGTTATTTAGAGTGATGAAGCAAACATATCTAACTGTATGTATCCTAGCTCAAGGAAAATGTGCGTTTAATATGTCAGGATTAAAACGACAATTTAAAATATTGTGTTTTTAGAGAAACACTTACATATGACAGATATATCCAAACATTAGAGCACAATTTGGAAGTTTTACTTCATAATATTCCTTTAGAAGAACAAAGAACGGTTATTTTTTTAGCAAAGACCGAGGCAAAGACGGTGCCCCAGCTCATAATGCGTTAATTGTTCGAAATTATTTAAATGTCTCGTACCTAATAACTGGATGGGGATGCAATCAAAAGACTATCGCCTTCGCCCGACTTAAACCCATTGGATTTCTTTTTGAAAAGTAAAATTTCTAAATATCCTTCTACAACATACTGAGGAAGAATTACGAAAAAATGTAGAAAGAGCGTTTGAAGCAGTTCAACCACTACAACTCCCTCGACAACTCCTGAATGCAACAAAATGTTTGAAAAAAAGATGCATTTCCCACAATGGAAAATATTTTTGGACTTTGTTCAATATCAGTTATAGTTAACTGTTTACCGTTTTCTTTAAATGATGATCAAACTTATCTTTCAAGTGTTTCATAGGCGATTATATTTTTTGTTATTTATTTTCAGAAAAGATGTATTAATAAACAAAATTTATTGCAGGATTTTGGGTGCGAAATTGACGAGAAGTATAATTTCTTCTTAGCAAAACAATTTGACGAAAAACGACAAAATTTAATCAGGCTATTTTTAAATACGCGGGATATTCGGCATGATTATTTCCTTAATAAATATTTACAGTGGTTTCAGTATTTGCGAAAGAATTTTCACCAAAATTGGGCATAAAGTGCTTTCGAAATTAGCGCATTGAGTATAGACTTGTTCGGAGTGAGTTTCGTATCTAAGCAACATCAAATTTGCGGTTGTCTAAGTCTCTTTGATATTTGAAACTAATAAAATCAGAAGCGATAAAATTTTGACGTTTTAAAATTAATCACTTATAATTGCACAAGAGGTTTGTATTTTACCGAGTAAATTTGGGTTGTTAAGGTAATGAAAATTTGTTGCCTAGCAATTAGACGAGAAAAACTGTCAACTAATAAAAATGCGACACCGAAGGTGGAGCATTTTTAGGTTGACAGTTTTTCGAGTTCAATTGCTAAAAGGAAACAGATTTGAATTGCAGCAACCCAAATTTACTCGGTTTAAATGCAAACCTCGAGTGTAATTCGGTAGGACAATTTAACGAACAAGAAATTCACCAAACTAGTCAATTATTGACAGACGTCAAACTAGTCATATGGGAAAGGATAATGCGATAATTGGTGCGAAAATGAATAAGTGAAAAAACCACTAGTGCATTTGTCGCTGGAAAAGTTGCAGGTAACTTTTGCCGCTGTCAAAGTGACAATTGCACTGCGGCTTATGCGATTTTTTATACATGAGTTGAATTGTCGTTGAAATATGGACAGTAACCATAGCAATTTGAATTACTTTACTACATGAAGGAAATGATCAAAATTATTACCCCTTTGAAGGAGTTGTTTTTTTATTAGTTCGCGCTGGTTTTGGCAAAAATATTCGCTTTTCATCGATGTTCATGTTATTCGAAAGACGAAAATCTGTGTATGCTTCACATTTTCCCCTGACATTTCATGGAAATAGATTTTTCCCCAGTTTGATACATTTTTGTGGTTCAACTAATGGGCAATACCGACCTGAACACACATATAAAACGATATAAATGTCCTGTGCTATAAGGAATTATATCCGATTAAGATAAGGGGTCTAAGTCAGGACTATGGTTGGTTGAAATTAATTCCTCTCGTTGAGACGAGACCTTTTATTAGGGTATCATGAAGGATAAAACCAGTTCCGCCCCCGCCGTCTGGTACACCTCCAAAGTATAGGCTATCTATTTCAAAAACATTCCAGGACTCATAAGAAAGCTATCCATTTAATCTCATCGAAATTGGACCACACTGTGCAGGGTGAGATATTAAGATGGAACAGTCCGCTAGTGTCGGAAATGAGAGTAAAACCCTTCTTTCTCCCGTTTCCACACACCCGTACAGTATGCCATATGAAGAAGTCAACAGTTTACGAGGAAGTAAAAAG